CATCATACATCAACCCTAACAGAAGCCAAAAAAAACACAGCAAAAAGAATAATTGGATATACATGACAACAACTTTCTTTCAAACTAGCTTCCCTACTTTGTGCAAGACCTACTTGGGGGGGGGTCCCCTTTCTGAGATGTGCCCAGCTGGTAGGGACAGTGGGATGGCAGTGGTCATCCAAGACTCATGTGAGGCACCCAGGGGCACTGCTCCTTAGTTTGCCAGGTGCGAGACCCTATTTGTGAAGTTGGGTTCTAAGGGGGATCAGTTGGGACAGTTGCTATTGTACCAGCCTCCTTGCTGTGTAGCAACCTCCTTGCCTGAGCTTCTTGACTTGGTGGGTGTTGCACTGGTTCTTCTCCTTCCACCAGGGTTGGTTCCAGTCAGTATTGTCTCAACCCTTTTCAGTCATGTACAGGCCGGGTTACGGGACTGAGACAGCATTGATTGCACTCTTAAATGACCTCTGGCAAGAGCGGGATGGCATTAGTGTGACCATCTTTGCTCTTCTTGACCTCTCAGCAGCCTTCGATACCATCGACCATGGTATTCTTCTGGACCAGCTTTGAAAGTTGGAAGTGGGCAGCACTGGGTTGCGCTGGTTGTCCTCCTTCCTCCGGGGTCAGCTCCAGTTGATAGGGGGAGAGAGATCCAGCCCACGCCCCCTACTTTGTGGGGTTCCTTACGGCTTGCTTCTTCCTCCTCTCCTATTTAACATCTATGTGAGGCCACTGGTGAGGTGATCCAAAGGTTTGGGGTGAGGTATCATCTGCACGCTGATGATACCCAGCTTTAGATCTTCAACCTGGGCTGCCCGAGTGATGCCGTGGATGTCCTCTCCCAGTCTCTGGAGATTGTAAGTGTAAGATGGGTTGCAATGGGCTTTGACTCAACCCAAGCAAGACTGAGTGGCTTTGGGTATTCGGGCCTTCTGGTGACAAGGTTTTTCCACTGTTGGTCCTGGAAGGGGTGGCACTTCCCCAGACAGGCCTGGTGCGCAATCTGGGAGTCCTCTTGGACTCATGGCTCCTGCTAGGAGAGAAGGTGGCAACCATGGCTAGGAGGTTTGTGCGCCAGTTGCACCCATTCCTGGACTGGGAGGCTCTGCTCACGTCGCTCATGCCCTCGTGACCTCCCGTTTGGACTACTGCAACACGCGGTACATTGGCTGCCCTTGAAGAGCATTTGAAAGGTTCAACTGGTGCAGAATGCAGCTGCAGGGGTAGGAAATGGTGTCGGATATTCAACACATGTAACACCACTGCTAGGTGAGCTGCATTGGTGGCCGGTGTGTTTCTAGGTGCAACTCAAGTTGCTGGTTGTCACCTTTAAAGCCCTTCATGGCTTGGGACCAGGTTACCTGAGGGACCATCCTTTCCCAGTTGTCTCTACCTGTCCAATTTGGTCCAGCAGGTTGGGCATGTTAAGGTTGAGCATGCCCTGAGTGTGTTAAGGGCCCCGTTTCTTGGCTATACTGACATACAGCAATATAGATCGATTAAATAGCCCATGGCATCAAGTCTTAAAAAAATAAAGTTTGACTGCATGTAATCATGTGGATCAGACTTCCCATGAAGGAAGAATGACTTAACCTCTATGTGTCTTCCCTCAAGTATAAGAGGAGGGAGACCAGGCTTGCTAAAAGCACCTGTGAAGGTGATCAGGGTATTCTTTTGAAACACAAATTAATCATGAGCCATCCGTGTGATGCAGCTGCTGAAAAGCAAAGAGTTGTCTGAGGAGGAAAGGAAGAAGGTCGTACCCAAGCATGAAAAAAGTAAAGGCTACGAAACCAGGAAATTCCATTCCTGCATCTGTCTGTAACTAGATCATTGTTCTGAGCCCTTATGAGACTACAGCTGGCATTCCATAAAGTCAATGTTCTCCAACCTTGGCCACATTAAGATGGGTGGACTTCAACTCCAGAATTCTCCAGCCAGCATCTCTTCTTGGTGGGTGTCATCTCCATAGAAGGTAGCTGTGGAGACATTGCAAAGAAATTTCCTCTGAAAAGTGAAATGTTTCAACGGCAAACCCATTGCCAGGTCAAAAACATTGAGGGAAAGAACCCAGCAGTTGGAAAGACGTGGAACACAAAATTCTTTACGTGATTCAAGACCCAATCATGGGACACGCTGATGAAGAAAAAGTCACGTGGCCTGTCTGCTTTAATTGACTATGATTTTGCATTTGGCTGATGACAATTGGTTTATTGTTGCATTGCTGCATGTTTGCACACTTTTGCTCTACATTTTTAATGGGACAGAAAATGACCAAAAGATCAGAAGATAGAAGTAAGATTACTCAGCAGGTGCCAACATTGTGTTCAGCGAAATCTGATCATGTGGCCACTCAAGTCAATATCGTACTGGGAGCAGCCCGAGTCTGATAGGATTGGAGGGGATCCAAATGAATATGGCCAGTAGAAAAATAAAATACCCAACTGTATGTGGTGCCAAGATTCTCTTCCAATGATGCTTAAGTTTGCCCTTCTGAGTCAGCTTGCTCGCTTTCTCCATGAAGCTCTAGATATTTAATAGGAAGCTGATTTCCTTCATCTTCTGGAATTATATAACTGCTCGGAGCCCTTGTGAAACTTCAATCTGAATTTCACAATGTGGTCCATCCTCCTCCTCCTCTTTTTGGGGTTCCTTTTCCCTGGACACAGCCTCCCGCTGAGCCCTCAAAACCACGTCTCAGGTGAGTTCTCCACATCATCATCATCATCATCATCATCATTTTCTTTTCACTTCCTTTGGTAGACGATGGAGAAGGCTTGCCTTAGGATTAGAGATTTTGCAACAATTCTTTTCCTTTTCCCATTCAGCTGAAGCTTCCAGCCACCCTCTGGATTTCCAGAAATCTCAGTAGCATGGGTGCCCCATGTTACAAAATGAAAAATGAAAAAAAAATCTTTTGAAGGAAGTGACTTGATAACCTTTGTGTCCCTCAGAGGCTCAGAAATGGTAGAGTGTGGCAATATGTTTTGATCTGTCGTCCCCCTGAAAGGGGAATTTCAGTTTGAATATTTTACAAATAAATAATTACATCAAACAAGCAATCCAATTTGTTATGCTCCAGATTCAGACCACGACATTAGCACCTCTGTACCTTCAACCCTGTTCTGAACCAAATGACCCTCCCTATATAATCTAGCAGGCTGGTGTTGAAACCGTATCACCACTTTGATTCATCCGCTTATTTTAATTGATATATTTAGTGAGATTCATTTGCCTAAAAGATGCCTAAACACCCTCTCAAAGATTGCTGTGCCAGTTTCCAGCTTTTCTGAAACACGGTTCCCAATGAGAGAGTTCTGAGAACTTAATTTTTGGAAGGAAAGGACTAACAGGGCAAGAATTCCTACTTGCACCTTAAGGCAGTGGATGCGATGTTCTCTCCCATCGCTTGTTGTCTTTTCAGTTCCCAGAAACAGCCATCGTGTTCCAACGGGTGACCCCTCTATTGGAACAGTTGGCTTCAAAGAAAGCAGAGATCATGGTTTGCACCTTGAGGGGTTTCTACTCTGGAAGCACCAGTGTGAAACAGCTCTCTCATTTCCAGCCAGTGAAATCTAATGAATATTTCACCAGCAACATCTTACTGCAACTCAATAATTTAGAAAGGAATTCTGATCATATTTTTTTTCTTATGTGATTGTATGCACAGCCTAGGAAAATCCAGGAAGAGGAAAGAAAAAATGATGCCATGTTCCATTTGCACCCACTCTGAAATTCTCCTCCCCTAGTTAATGCTGCCGATGATAAATGCTCACCACCATGTCCAAGTATCTTACCAGTGAAGGAACAAAAGGACTGAAACTCCTGATATGTGGCTTAGAGCAAGTTGTGGGGTAATTGCATACCACCGTAATCCCTGAAGTCTCAGTTGAGCCCCCAGCTAAGAACCTCAGTGATTGGGCAACCTGCAGCACTACCAGAAGCTAAGCCTGGACTCTTCCCATTCCAGACGATGGTCCACCTTCAGCTGAACTTGGCAACTAGCAATCCATGCAAACATAGCTGCCATGTTCAGCTGGGAAGATTTAAGCCTTTACTGCCTGCTTTTTAGGACACAATTTAATACTGGTCAAGAAGGCTTTCTTCAGTGGCATTGCTTTGAAGACACCAGCTCTACAGGAATATGTTTTGTTCCAGATCCTAGCAACATTCTTTGTCCACCTGCTTCCACAGATTGCATCTCTGGTGGTGTAGGATAGAGAGGGGCTGAATGTCTTTACTTTGAAGATGGAGTTGTAGACCCAAGCAAATATCTTCCCATTGCACCTCCAAAGGACTAGGATGGGTTTTCCTAGAAGTAGCCTTAGATCCTCTACTGGAGTATGTTCTTGTAATCTGAGGTCATTGGTTGCATCTTTAACTGCATTGCTGTAGAAAAAAGCCATTTTACCTATTGGGAAGAAAATTATGGGATAGAAGTTGGTAGAGAAGAATAGTTGACAGGCCCCTTCATGAAGTGTTGGTTCTGTCTGTGACTGGTCCTTCTTTCCCGCCCAATTTCTTGCAATGAATAGAACAAAAGGTTAAATGATCTCAATTTTTTCCTCACCCTCTGTTACCCAAAGTTCTCACTTTTTCTACTTGACTTGACCAATTGTTTCTCCCTCTTTATCTCACTGCTTTCATTTTTAACCAGAATATTGAATCAAAGAGAGAATGCAACTGGACCCTAGGCTGTAGGCATGGCCCATCCTTTCTGGTGATGCTTTCAAAACACCCCTAAAGTTCCCTAATGCCTTTAATGTAAAAGAGAGAGTGAGAGCTGAATAGGGAACTGACATTAATTTTTTATCTTTGGATGGCCAAAGCTGTTCCTCCAGTGCTATTAATGTGTATGCCCTGCCCCCAACACCAAGACCCTTGTACATAGATAGAATAGCAAGCTCAGCTGTGCAGTGGGCAATCCGGAAAATGATCAGGGGTTGAATATTACCTGGTCTTGGGAGAAGAGTGGAATGACACATCCTGATTTAATGGAAATGGCGGAAGAACAGAATGGTACCTACACCGTTGTCATTCGCCTCCCCATCTTCCTCCATGATTGGGAATCAGGAAAGATTTTCACCTGTGCAGTGGAATATCCAGGCTTGGCTGTTCCCATCACAAAGACAATTTCCAAGCCCACAGGTAAGGAAGAAGTTACCTTGTTGCCCGTCATGGGGACTAATGGACTTATTTTCCCTTGGGCCAAGGGGTTGTAGGAAAATTTTTAATGTATTGGGCACACTGCAAGCTTAGAGACCTGAAAAGGCATGGTCTCTCATGTGCATCAACAATCCAGAATACTGGTTGGATAAATACATCATGTGAACAAAACTTGATTTTGGCTTGGCAGAATGTGTGACTCTAGTCATAGAATGGCCTGCAAACCATGATTTAGTGATATACATGAACACTGGGCTTATTTATGAATAGTGGCTAAAAACATATACTTTAGCAAGAGACGTGAACCATTCATTGCTGCCACTAAGTTGTCCTACGTTTCATCATTGTGTTTCATTCCTCATGCTTCACAAAGGCAAGAGCAGTGCACCCAAGGTCTGCATCTTCCCTCCGGCTCGAGAGAAACTCAGCCCAGGCAGAGAGGTTATCCTTACCTGCCTGGTGAATGGGCTTTCCCCATCAAATATTGATATCCAGTGGCTAAAGAATTACAATCCTCTGCCAGAAGACAACTTTGTGAATACCCCAGCTATGAAGAATAACCATGAAGATTCCTTCTTCGCCTACAGCAAACTGAGTATCCCCAGAGATGATTGGGACCAGCCCAACGTATTCACCTGTATGGTGGTTCATGAAGCCCTCCCCATGAAGTTCACTCAGAGGAACATGTCAAAATCTCAGGGTAAAAAATGAAGACTGATCTCAACCAGCTTCTCCATTTCAGTCCATCCTAGATTTCCCTCTAGTACTGTCAGACGAAACCTTTATTTATTTCCCTACTCCCCCATTTGGCTTCTGGATGAATAAAAGCAAACCATCTCAGAAATATCTCGGGTTCTGTTCTTTTCTCCTTAGGGGTGAGGTCTAGAAGGGGAAAGGGGATAATCTGTCTGAAAAAGCAGAGTCAAGGCTTAAGGATGATAGTCTAAATGGAGTTCATCATTCTTCTATATGAATCCCAAGAAGGCCAATGGATTTAGCTGGTGTATGTGTGGGTACCCCAATTTAGCCTCACTGCAGTGAG